ACGAAGAGTCCTTTTATTAAAGACTCTATATGCTTTGCTGTGAGAAGAGTATCCAAGGAAGATTCCCTCATCACTTCTAGGATCAAATTTATCAAGCTGGTCCTTCCCATTATTATGCACATAACATTTACATCCAAAAATGCGAAAATATGTAATGTTGGGCTTTCGACCTTTAAGCAGTTCATAGGGAGTCTTATTTAACTTTGGTCTAATGAGACCTCTATTCAATATATAGCAAGCAGTGTCAACAGCTTCTCCCCAAAAACTCTTTGGGAGACCACTCTCAATGAGCATCGTCCTCGCCATCTCCTCAAGAGTTCTATTCTTCCTTTCTACAACACCATTCTGTTGAGGTGTTCTAGGGGCTGAGAAGTTGTGATTAACTCCATGTTCCCTACAATAATCAATAAAGTTAGCATTTTCAAATTCAGTACCATGGTCTGATCTTACCGAGACCAGCTTGTGGGTGAGCTGGTTCTCCACTTGTTTCACCAATGTTACCCATTCTTCAAACGTTTCATCCTTTGTGTGTAACATCATTACCCAAGTGTACCTGGAATAATCATCAACCATAACACAGACATATCTATGACCTCTTCGACTTTGTACTCTCATGGGACCACACAAATCAATGTGTACAAGTTCGAAGGGTCTGCTGGTACTCAAAACAGTTTTAGACTTAAAAGAATTTTTGACCTGTTTCCCCCTTACACATTCAGAACAAACTTTATCAGCTTCATACTTAATGTTAGGAAGGCCTACAACTAAGTCACGTGTTTTAAGTTTGTTTAGAAGTGTTAGGCTAGCATGTCCAAACCTCTTATGCCAAATCCATTGATTATTGTCAGAAACAGCTCTCAAACAGATGGACTTGTCTTGAGGGATTTTATCCAAGAAGGTAATGTAAACATCATGCTTCCTGGTTCCCTCACATACAAGTTCTCCTGTTTGTGAGTTAACTATGTGACATAGGTTGGCTTGAAACTCAACTATATTACCTTTGTCACATAATTGAGAAATACTCAAGAGATTATGTTGCAAGCCTTCAACATAATAAACATCATCTATTGCGTTAGAAAGTGTCTTACCAACCTTACCTAAACCAGTGATGGTTCCCTTGTTGTTATCCCCAAAGGTGACACTTCCTCCATCAAAGGCCACTAGTGAAAGGAATTGATCTTTATCCCCGGACATGTGTCTTGAGCAACCACTGTCCAAATACCAATAGGTGTCTCCCTTCACTCTAGCCTGCAAGAGCAAATCAAACATTAGTTTTAGGAACCCAAACATACTTGGGTCCCTTTTCAACAACATTAACATCTTGTTGATCCTTTCTTCTCCACACATATTTTACACCCTTGCTGTTCTTATTAGCACTAATTTTCTTAGCTGGACATTCATGTATCTTATGTCCATTTTTACCACAATGAAAACACACATGCATTTCTTTAGTCATGACATACTTGCCTCGTTGATATTCTTTGATCCAGGTGGTTTCTCTGGGAGACCAGTTAGTCCTGGTTCTCTGTCTAGTATAACCAAGACCAACTTTTCCTCTGTTTCCTCTTGATGAAGTCAGGTAATTTAAGGATTCTTGAGCATTCAATAATTTGTCCACATGTCTATGACTATCATTAAGTTCTTTTTCTCTGGTTTCAAGTGTTTTAGTTAACAATTCGTTTTTCTCTTTAAGAAAATCAAAGTTACTTTTTAAAGCTTCGAATTGTAGATTAAGTTTTGAAACCATAGAGTCAATAGACATGTCAACAATCACTGGTTGCTTGTCCTTTTTCAGTTGATTGATTTCCGCATGCAAATCACAAATATTACTTTCATACTTATCAATCGTATTACTGACATCTACACTGGTACCTGTAGGGGAAACAGTGAACTGTGCAGCTTTAAGTGAAGCAATTTCCTTGTGAGAGTTTTCCAGGTTGTAAGCCAATGTTTCAAAGGCCTTCAACAAGGAAGTTCTAGTACACGAATTTGCTTTACTTATAGCTACTGAAAAATCAAGAGTATCACTAGTGGTTGATAAGTCTCTAGGGAACCAGGAGGTCAGATCCTCTTCTCCATCAATTGGTTCAAACGATCTTTCCTTTTCTAGTTCCACTTTACACTTGTCCAATTCAACCTCTAGTTCTGCTACTTGATTTTTTAGTTCATAACAGACTCCTTCTAGATGATCACAACTAGCAATAGCAATATTACATTCACCACGTTTTTCTTTTAATTCTCTTTTGCAAGTTATGTATGTTTCACTTAGTTTATAGCATTCATCTAGTAAGGAATCAATACAAGCAAGCATATTTTCTCTATCATATTCATGCATATCTTCTCTAATTTGCTCTAAGCTTACCTTGCGTTCATGTAATACATCCTTCTTTGCCATAAAGCATTTGTTGAATGTACTGGTTCCCCCTCTGGTTCCTGGACCAGTGCTGTTTTCCTTGATGTTTGTAAAGGCAGTTAGGCAAACATCTGAGTTGGATGATCCTTCTTCTTCATCTGACCCTGAGTCAGAGTCTCCCCACATGGAAGCTATCATGGCATTCTTGTATGCTTGTTTATCTCCGGATTTAGACTGTTTGTCATTCCACTTAGGACAATCTCGAATAAGATGTCCTTTTTCTCCACACTTGAAACATCCTGTAGAAGAAGAATTAGAGTTAGATTTTTTATAGTTTTTAAAATGCTTACCTTTGAAATTCTTTCTTTGATCTCGAAGAGATCTCTCAAATCTTTTTGCAATCATGCTAATTTCATCTTCATCATCTTCTACTGTTCCCTTAAGCGCCATGCCTCTTGCTGGTTCCTTCTCAGACTTAGAGTCAATCAGCATCTCATGAGTCATAAGGGAACCAATCAGCTGTTCTAGAGACAAGGTAGACAGATCCTTTGCTTCATATACTGCTGTTACCTTGGCTGTCCATGCATCTGTTAAACTACGCAATAATTTTCTCACAAGATCCTCGTCAGATAAATTTTTACCAAGAGATCTAAGATCATTTACTATAGTCATAAACCTACGAAAGCAGTCATTGATTTTTTCATTTTTATTCATGGCAAACAATTCATATTTAGACATGATTAAATCAATTTTAGACCGTTTTACCTCGCTGGTTCCCTCAAACGCAAGTTCAAGGGTGTCCCATATCTCCTTAGCACTACTACAGCCAGAGATACGATTTGTTTCGGTCTCACCTATTGCTTGTTGTAGTATTGACATTGCCTTAGCATTCTTCTCCAGCAACTTGTAATCAGCAGTGACCAATTCGCTATCTTTCTTGGGAACCTGGTTCCCCTCAACATCTGTCTTGAGAATGATATTAGGACCATTTTTAACTACGAGCCAGCATTCATAATCAATACCCATGATAACATTCTGGATCCTGTTCTTCCACCAAGCATAATTATTTCCATTAAACTTGGGTGACTTGTTGTCATAACCGATTGCACTTAATTCTTGAGTACTCATTCTTAACTCCTCTAGATGTTACTCTTTCGAGAAGCTTAGGCTCTGATACCAATTGAAGGTTCAATGGGCACTCAAGAGGGGGGGGTGAATTGAGTGTTAAGTAATCGTTGGCTAATTTTGCTTCTTTTCGGATTATGTGTGAGGAACCAGTTGTGCTGGTTCCCGTACGCAGCGGAATATAAATAAGCAATAAAGAAGACAACAAATTTAACGAAATAAAACAAAGCAATAAAGAACACAACAAATTTAACGAGGTTCAGCCAACTCAGGCCTACGTCCTCCTATCCTAAGTTCTTTATTAATCTACTCCGAAAAACAAAGACAAAGAACACTCTGCTGTTCCCTACTCCGGGAACCAGCAAACCCCACACTCTACTCCGAGTGTGCTCTCGACTTACACTCGTAAGCCCAATGTGTTTGAACTCACAAACACTCACCCAGCCTTTAACCCCTTTGTTAAAGACTCAATACAAGAATCAAAAACTCTCCTTTGATCTCACTTCTACGAAGCTAATTAAGAGAAAAAGTTTAAGTACTAGAATGCTCTTGTATATGACTTGATGAATGGGATTAGTGCTTAAGTGTATGCTCTCAAATAATTGCTCTTTTAATTTCTGGAGAGGCACACAAAATATGTGAAATAAGATGAGTTTATATAAGCTTAGATTCCTAAAACCTAGTTTCCTTAAATCACACAATCTTAGAGAATAAGATATAATGTAATTTTAGGAAAGTTTTTATCTTATTTGATTTAATCACAAAGATAGAATCAATTAAGATAAATACTCCTAGTTTTTAGGTAACCAAGAATATTTCATCTTATTTCCTGCTGCACAAAATATTTTCAAAATAATCTTTTCGAAAAAAAATCTTTTTGTAAAATCTTTTTCCAAAACGGCAGCTCGAATACAGTGAACCTGGTTCCCCGACCTGGTTCCCTGAATTGAAACATGTTATGAAACCTGTTCCAACTTTGTACCAGATTTCATATCATACTTCAATATACTTTTAAGCACTTATATAACCCAAACATGCAAGCATACTACGGAGCATATTACATGAAAACCTAGATAACATATTAAAGCATAAATCGTCTTTTCTTCATGTAATCTTCAAGACTTGAATCTTCCTTGAATACTTCTATTATGAGCAAACAATCTTTCTTCGAAATATCTTCGAAAGGCTTCTATGCTCCAAGTCTTGGAATCAACTCAACTACTGCACATGTAACATGGTTAATGCACAATAAAGAGTATGTGACTGCTTTACCACGTAGCAACCATGGAAACAGTACATACTGGTTCCCTACCAGTACATAACACTTTTATCATATAACTGTTCCCTGTATAAAGACAAGTTAGTTCAATAAGAAAACTCATGTAAGTAATAACTTGTCTGGGGAAACAGTGTTCTATGTTAGCTGGTTCCCCCAACTGTATCGAACACTTTCAAGGACCTGTTTCCCTTAGCTGTTTGTCATCATTCAAAACTATCAATCAAAACCTAAGGGACTCAACAGTTGAAGTGGCTGATGATGTGGCTAAGTTGAGGGATGAGTATGGGCTGATCTGTGCTAGGAGCAGGGATATTCAGGCCCATGCTTTGGCTCTTTGGCCCATAAGGTGGTACCGAAAGCCCGGTCTTAAAGTTCTTGCTCGCGACATCGCTGGGCTTTATATGGCTAAGCCCATTCATGTTTGTAGGAGTGATTGGCAAGCTAGGGTGCTGAGTAAGGAGCAAGTGGAGTATGCTAGTATTGATGCTTATGCTTCTTACAAGATTGGTTACAAGTTGTTTATGGAGTGAATGAGTAATTAAGTAAGGAATAATGATGTTAAGATGGTTTGCAATTTACTATTTGGTAATGTTATCCACTAAAAATTCAGTTCTATATGTTTCTATGTAACGAGTGTTGACAAGTTTAGTGATATGTATTCCATAGTAGTAAAAGTTTCTAATGAAGTAACGATGATGTGAACGAGTTATCGATGTTCTATTAAATCTTATGTCTTTTAATTTTACATTCTCCAATTTCCATATCAAATTGCCAATCAATTGTCTCTTCGATTCAAAATGTCCTATATGTTTCTTTTTATTTAATTTTTGTAGGACAAAAAGCTATAGTAATAGTGCATATGCAAGCAAGGACGGATCTACAACAGGCCTTAATAAAAATCAATTTTTTTTTAAAACAAAAAAAATCATGTAGAATGTTTTTTAATAGTCTAATTCAATGCAAAATTAACGTTGATTTAGCTTTGCTTTAGTGGTACGGAGTATTGTTTTTAACTTAATTATATACTGGAGTTCGTGCCTAAGTTTTTATGGTCTTAGGTTTAAGCCTTCTTTCAAGCATACGTCTTCTTCTTTTCTAAGTTTTTCTCCAAACTAAAAATAAAATTCTAAATCCGTCACTGTAATATATGGGGTAAAAAGAGAAGAAAAGGATCTAGATTCTTTTGATTGGTATACAATAAGTTCTAGAACCTTTGCATCTACCGTAATCTGTATTAATTATATATTGATTAGTTAAGGCCTCATTGGCACATGCGGTACATGTAATATACAAGCTAAGTAATATCTATAATAACGTTAATTAGTTACATTGCCATATTGGGTGGAAGTTCCTTGATTTGTAAGAGCATAATTGGTGAGTTAGTAGGTAGATCAGTAGATGTTTATTATGAGAGCATTACTAGGTAGGTGTTTCCTAATATAACTTTCATATTAAACTATATTAGGTAGGGACATTAAGGGGTTTAAGTGTAATGAATTAATTTAATTTGTACTTGAATATTCTAAGAATATTATTAAATGTATATAGTGAATAATGATCCAATTAAAGGATGAGAAGTGTAGTACAAATGTACAATTAGTTATTTATTTAAATAATAAAAGTCGTTTGATAATAGTATCATAATGAACACTTTTCTCATCTTATAAACATAATTGAAAAAGACGGCCACAAAGTCCACAATTAGCTAGTTGAAGTATGTGGTAATTCTACTACTACATTATAATCCAACATGGAAGTGTCTTGTATTTACCTCAATTCATATAATGGCTCACTAAGTAAGAATGTGTAGAATATAACACCTAAAACACGTATAAAATCCGTTTGAACTGAGTTTTCTTTTCTTTTCTTTTATTTTTAAATGATTGTGGTTTGTGAGTGAGAATCTTTTTCTTTGTTGAAATTATGTGCCATCATTTTCTTGTTGTACGGATGTTGCAATATAGAGTACTGCTTGAGCAAAACTAGAGTTTTTTAAGAGGAACTTGCTAAGCCACTCCATAATCAACCACACCCACTAATTTTTTAAGCAGACCACAATATCGAGGGCCTAAGCCCCCACATCAATCTTGCCAACTACGTATCTCCCTAAAACACTGTATACTTCATGTCCCTAAAACACTGTATAATATATTAGTATGGCCTTAGTGTCGATCAATAGCTCTCAATCTAACTTGTTGGCATGGTGATTGACTGAATCACTTGACTTGTTGAACTAATTAGCTGTATAATATAAATTACTCGATCTATAATTGATAATTTTTTACTATTAATGTCATTTATTATTATTAATAATTAGTTAGCAGGTGTGTTAGCTAATTTACCTGTTTTATTATATTACTCGTACATATTTGGACAAAACTAGGGAGTAATGAAAATTGAAAAAGATGGGCAAGTCCTGGTTGATCTTTTTGATTGACTAGTTGCCAACGAGGCACTATGTTACTCAGATGCCAGGTAGGTTAGTAGCCCACAAAGAAAATTGAAAAAGTTTCCAACCATAGAAGATGGACAGTCCACCGACACCGTACCATTGAAGCTTCTTCCTTCATCGATCTCCACCCACCTTCTACTGGCGCTTCCATCGACAATCCCACCATCTCCGACGGTTTTGTCGCCAAATTAAACGAAAATCCTATGAAAAAGGGTGAATTTAGAGCATAATCAGCCCTAAAGGGTAGGAGTGACCATGTCCTCTATATATGCTACAAAGCATCGCTTTAGGATGTGCTTCGTGGTTGGCATCAGGGCGGATCTTGGTTAGGGCGGGTAAGGGCCCGGCCTCCCTTAAGCATATTTGAGTTGTTGATTATGAGTAATATGATGTCTAATAATTACAAATAAAATGTTGTGGCATAGTGGTTAAGTGTTGTATTTTTGTGCAAAAGGTTGAGGGATCAAACCTTGCCCCCCTTAACTTTTTGCCCAAGATCCGCCACTGGTTGGCATGCAAGTTGACAGAGAGATGGTGGTGGTGGCAGCGATGATGGGTTTCATTCAGCGAGCAAACGGGGAGATTGGTGGTGGCGGTGATGGGTTTCGAAGAGGAAAGGGGGACATCGGAGGCGCTTCACTGACAAGATCGAAGATGGAGGTTGTGGCGGTGGCGGCAGGGGTTCATAAGAGAGGAAGGGGAAGCTTGTTTCAATTTGAAGAATGGGGAATTATCTGACTCATCATATGAGTCAACGGTTTCATACGCTGTCAATGGGCCACTGCTACTTTTATTTTCGATTATTTTCAATTCAGCTAGGGGTGTTAATTGAGTTGAGTAGTTCGCGAGCAACTCCAACTCGATTTGGTCAACGCTCGGTCAAAACTCGACTCGAGTTAGCTCAACTCAAATTCGACTCGACTCGAGATGTTAACGAGCACAAGTTGAGCAAGTTTTAACTCGACTCGATAAGCTCGTGAGCAACTCGGTAATATATTTTATAAATATAGAATTTACAAACAAAGTTACCATGTTTAAACAAATTTGACACTTAATAAGTGTTAATTTACATTATCAAAAAAGAAAGAGTAAATCTTTAATAATAAATATATTAAAAAAAAGAAAACAATATAAAGTGTACAAAATAAATAAAGGCATATAATTATAGAAGGGCCAAAACTTTAACGAGCAGATCGTGAGCTACTCAACTCAACTCGACTCGAAACTTTAACGAGCATAAGACGAGCAGATTTTTTTGGCTCGAAACTTTAGCCGGCATGAGTTGAGCTCATGTAAAAAGTTTTCGAGTTAAGTCGAGCACCGCTCAGCTCGTGATGATCAACTCGCTCGATAAGCACCCCTAGATTCAACCACTAGATTGATAAATTTTGTTTATAAAAAAGATCAACTTGTATTTCCTTGAAAAGGATACCCTATTATAAAACTCCATATAATTTATATTTTATGAAAAGACAGATTTATCAAACACGAAATTAAGGTAGTGGTTCACCACAACCTACATTATTGATGTTTTTTTTTGCTTTAAATTCAAGAGTAGGTTGCCAAATTAGATATCCGAAAATTTTGGATCATGAAAAATTCAATTTAAACCCAATCCAAAATTTTTGAATGATATATAACCAGATTAGATAACTACTGTATTTTTTCAGATATTTCAGATATATATCTTAAAACTTTAAAACGCGCTTGCTTTATATATATATATATATATATATATATATATATATATATATATATATATATATATATATATATATATATATATATATATATATATATATATATATATATATATATATATATATATATATATATATATATATTACTTTAATACAAAGTATATGTTTTACATAAAAAAGTTCAATATTTTGAATACCTAAACTTTAAATATGAAATCAAATCCAATTCAAAAATATTTGGGATTTATATATCTGAAAAAAAAAAAATACTAGATCAAATATATTAAATTTCGAATCTGACCGATCAAATAATGGATCAAAAATTTTACCCACCCCGGCCTGCGATAGAGAAGATATACAAAACTAACAAAAGTACATTCATTACATATTTGAGATTCGAAGTCAATATTTCATGACATACATTTTTATTTGAAGTACTTAAATTATCAATGCAAATCTAGAAGTATATTCTTGAATCTAGCTTGATGTATGTGGCTTGGGATATACATCACTACTGCTTACATCACAATTGCTTATATCACTACTTGTAAATTTGTGAATGATTATGATCAACTAAAGCTCTTTTAAGTCAGTAAGTCATACGATACATGTTATTGGATCAACTAATAATTTTTAGTATTTATATTCTTATTATAGCTAGCCTACTCTAGCGAAGTCATGTTAAATTAGTACGGACCACCTTTTACGTAGTATTAGTAATATTGGATCTTATTATTATTATTATAAAGTGTTGCTTTTGGTGTAAGCCTTTTATTTATTTATTTATTTTTATGGGGCAGATTGGAGCAATAAACAATTAAACATAAAGTAAACCTAAGCTAGTGCATGCTTCTAGAAGCCATCATTTAACCACAACCTAGTACGTAGTACAGTACTAAGTTTTCTTACATGAATGATTTTGCATTGGTTCGATCATCGATCGAACGGAATAATATTTTAGGCTCAAAGCGTATTTTTAAGGTAATGAACAAAAGATTTTATTTATCTATCCCATCTATACCTAGTGTTTAGAAACTGAAATCATCACTAGCGTAAAAGTATCAACCCCATTTTTATTTGATACGAAGTATTTTTTAAAATATAATTTTATTTACTAATTCAATTTGTGTATTGAATAATGTTTTTTTTATATTTCCCATAACTTAATATATGAATGTGGAGTATATCTCTTTGTTATAACTTTCAGGATTTTCCTCTCCCTAAGCTAATAACTCTTTATTTACTTTTCTCACTAATTGAAAAAATATTAATTTTAATGCGATTTTTTTTTAAGCAATCCATGCATGCATTGCACAGGCTAGGCCAAAAGACTACAGTGGTTAATTTTCAAATACATTTCCTGATTTTCAAATACAATGATTATTATCATAGCTCACCGCATATTCATTTGGTTAAACTTTAAAAATCGTGGTTGTATTTTGTAATTTATTGAAGTATATAAGAAATAAAATTATTCCATATCAAGTAGAATGTGGTTAGATTTGTTTCAATTTGTAATTTCATACTATCAATTTTTTTAAAATATATTTTTACAAATATAAGTATAAAGATATTAATTTTCAAAA